ATAAAGTTATAGATATAAATCCTTTTCTTCTCTTTATCATTCTTTATTTTTATAATAAATTTGTAATTCTTATATAAAGTAATAATAATATTATTTGCAAATATAAATAAAGTATTCTTTTTATTTAATATTTAATTCTATTTAATATATTTGCTTTATTAAATAATATTAGCTTATATTTCTGAATCAATAAGATATTGGAAAGCCACTAGTTTCTTATTTATATTGAAAAACATAATAATTATATAAATTACTTTCCCTTTTTTTTATAGGCCTAATATTAGAGAAATACTTATTATAATAACTAAATCTAAATGTTTTTTGAATAAAGAGTATTAGATATATTATTTAAATAAATAGAATCTTTATACTTTTCTTTATAATACCTATATATAATAAGATTTTGATATATAATAATATAATATTTTTTTTATTAATATTTATAACAAATAATATTTCAAATGTAATTTGTATATAATATTTTAGTAAAAGACTTTTCCAATTTAATTATTAAATCTTTTATTAATTGATCTAATTTTTGATTTTAAAAAGTAATATTTATAAATATATTATTTTATATATAAAAATGTTTTAAAAAGAAATCTAATTATAAAAAGGAATAAATATATTTGTATATTTATTATAATTTTCTAGTATTTCTATTTGAATATAATTTATTAATATTTTTTAATTTATAAATATACTTAATAAATTTGAAATAAAATTTAGATTGTTAAAATGACTTGAATATTCTTCAAATTAAACTAAATAGAAGATTTATTAATAATTTTTTTTTTTAAATATTATTCAGTTTTTATTTAATATTTTCTTTGAAATCTCTTAAATATATTATAAAGATATTTATAGTTTCATTTTTCTTTTATTTTATATATATAATTTTTTGAATTATTTATTATTACTAATTTCTTTTATTTATAATTATATTATATATATATTCTTTAAAATTTTCTTATTTTATTATTTTATTAAATAATTTGCTTTTATATTAATATTAGATTATTAATAATTATTTTTTAAAATATTAAATAATATACTTTATTTTTTTCTTATTTATTAGGAAATGATATTTATTATTATTTTGAAATATAATTTCTATTTAAAAGAAAAAGTCTTTAGTTTTATTAATATTTTTTTCTTTATATTATTTTAATCTTTATAATTTAAAAGACTTTTTTTAATTTGGAATAATAATTCTAGGAATTGTATATATTATAATTATAGAGTTATTATAATTAATTAGAATAATTATATATAATAAATAATTTATTATTACTTTATAACTTTTCTTATAATAATTATTTCTCTTTTTATTTCTTAAAATTATTAAATTAATAATAGATTCTTATTATTAGAAAATTATTATAATTAGATTATTTATATATCAATATTAATTTCCTTAAGAAATGAATTAATATTTCTATTCAATTGATTTAAGATTATATTATATAAATTATAATCTTTAGGTATTCTTTTTATAAAGATTATATTAATATCAATAGCTTTTCAATAAATATTAATCAATAAATTATTTTATTAAAAAATAAAAAGAATTATTAAAATGAATATTAATAATAAATCAATTAGGTGAAATATAATATAAAGATTTTTTATTAATTCTTTTAAACTTATGAAAACTATATAATTTATATATATATGCGGACTCCTTTCGGTATATGATAGGCCCGAGGGCTTACTATTACATGCCTAATGGAGCCCTTTAGTCCATGACCGTGATAAAAAGCTTTTAATATTAATTTTATATATTATTAAATCAGAAAAAATAATAGAGTATCTTCTTATTATATAAGAAAAAAATTCTTTATTTAAAAAAAAAATGAATATATAGTTTTTTTTAAAAATATTCTAATATTGGAATTAAGAAGTAATATTAAATCGATTTTATATAAATTTTAGATATTATATTTAATATTTTTAAAAAATAATTCCGGAATCTCATAATTTCTAAAATCAAGATTATTAAATTGATTAAGAAATAGAATATAAATAAAATAAATATAATAAAAAATTAGAAACTTAATGGATTAATAGTAGAAAGTATTAATTAAAGATTTATTCAAAAAAAGCAATCTGGATCTCAAATTTGAATCTTTTTTATAAAATATATTTTAATTAATAAAAAAAGTATTACTTCCCTTATAATATATAAGGAAAAATTAATTTAATAATAATAATTTCTAATCAATTTGATTTTATTTAAGGATTGGAATTTTATTACTACAAAAAATAAATGGATTATAAATACTATAACTTTAAAATAACTAAAAAGGATTTATATCTCTTAAACTATTTCTATTTAACTGGAAAATTTAAGATTTTTATTTTAAATAAATATAGAAATTATAAAATTATAATATTTATATTAAAGTATTTCAATAATAATATATATCTCTTATTTCTTTTATTATATATATTATATATATTATAATTACTCGATTTATCTTTATTTTTATTTTAAAAAGTATAGATCAAATTGAATTTAATAAATCAAATCTGTTATTCGATTTCTTATCAATTAAAAAATACAATTTCCTTTTTGCTATCAAAAGATTAGAATAGAAGATTTAATTATTTAAAATATTAAGTTTAAATAATAAATTAATAATCTTTAATTCAAAAATATAATTAAATCTTTTATAAATCAATTTTTATTTGAAAATAATAATAAAAAGGTTTTATTATTTAATCCTAAATTTAATAATAATTTTATTTTTTAATAGAATATATATTTATTATTTATTTAATAAAAAAATATAAAAAAGAATTAATATTAAAAATATAAAAATATAATAATTTAAAAAAAAAGATTGATTTATTAATATAAAATATTATTTTATAAAATTATAAAAACATATAATATTAAGAATTATAAACTTTCGAAATAAAAATAAAATTAAAAAGCTAGAATATTAATTAAATAAAGTATTATTTAAAAAAAAAAGATTATAATATTTTTAAATTTAAAATTTATAAAGATTAGAATTATAAGATATATACAAATTGAAATAAAAAATTATAAAATTAAAAAAGATAATAATTTTAATACTATAGAAAGTGATTTTACAAACGATTTATTGAAGTTCAATAGTTATTGAATTATTAAAGTTTTAAATATAGATAGTTAATATGATTTTTTTAGGTGGTTGGAAACAGGGGTGGTCGGAAAGTGGGGTAGTTGACTTAAGGGAAAATATAGTCACCTTTTGCTCCATGTAATATAGTATGTTCGACACCAAATCAATGATTTGTCTGTCATGTCAAGGTATGATAGCCTCCTGCTTGGGGTTTAACAAGCTTATAACCTGTCGAAGTATATGATCCATGCTTTTGAGCTTGTTGGATAGAGGCATGATTGAAATTGACTTGGCGAAAATCTAAGAAATGGGATGTATTGTATTGTAGAGGGGATGGATGTCGAGAGGAGGAAGTTTAGCTTTTATATTCTGAGATATGACTTGGTATGACGTAGGGTTAAATACCAGAATAAGCCATCTATAGCTAAACCCATAGTCAATCATGTAACAATATATCATTTCGTGATTGTACTAGTTATCTTGGGTAATCTTACCTTTGTAACTGCATGATCTCTCTATTCGTATCTTCTGTCTCTTGCCTGCTTATTTTTCTCCAGATAACATCCCATCTCTGATATTTAATTATTTCGCCAAGTAGATGTTCGAGCTTGTATTTTATAATATAAGATACAGTTGGTATAACAGATAGACTTTAGCCTGCGCTAATGTCAAATCAACCATCAACGACCATACACTCAACGCCTCAATGTCATTCTACGGTTTTGCTTTCAACTTTGACAGGAGGAAGCCCTCATCGGCATTCTGATAAATGCGAGAACCAACACGGAGCAACTTCGGTGAGAGCAAGCTCTGTGATAAATGTGAGATTGATGTGAAGGAATTTAGAATGAGTCATGTACGTGGCAGACAAGCTTATTGGACCTTTATCCTCATAGATTTTCTGTCGTTGAGAATCGAGAATATGAAATATCGGAATAAAATTTAGTTCGTGTAAAGATCTACGAGACTAACAAAAATCGTTGATGCCAAGGTCTAACCGATTACCACGTGATTAGCCACCCTTCATTTCCATTTACACTCTTCATTTCTATTCCCACTTATTATTCAATTGAAGCTATTTACAAATGAGTTCATGGAAAGTAAATACAATTCATCAATTTCATTAAGAGTAGGTTCAATTTCGTTGATTTAATCAAAGTAAGTGATTTAGATGAGGGTAAGATTTCGAGAGCCTTTTTTAATTCGCTCGTCTTCTCCTTTCCCCTTTCATTTTATTCGATATTTGATTCAATCTATATAGCATATATTCGATTCAGGTGACAGTGATAACGAAGTTTTCCAATCAATCTGCGGATTATTGAAGGTATAACCTATTGCACGGACCACCCAAGCGTCAACAGCAATACAGAATTTTGCTACCGTAGGGAATACACAAAGAGCGATAACTCCACTTGTCCACTTCCACACAAAACTTATCCCCGGCACCCAGGCCACTTCTCGCTCGGTCTTCGGCTGCCCGTAAAACCGAGCTATAATGCGACTTCTAGTATGCATACAACACGTACTCAACATTTTATAGTCATATATAAAATTTTACCTCGAAGCACTGGCCATTTGAACGTGGAGGATTAGATAATACGGGGCAATATGCAGTGAGGATGATTTGTAATGGTTCGAGGTCTCGCTCCGGACAATCGATAGAGATACCTCCGGATTCCGTTTACATGAATAGATCTCCAGTCGCCGGCCTTATATATATGAGCGAGAACCGGCATCGTACCGCTAGCTTGGATGGAAAAGTTGTAGTGTATGTGAAGGAAGATGATCCAGAGGTAAATGCAATAAATTCAAGCTTCCCTATCGATTCTCATTGTCCAGATTCGGAGTTTCCTTATTTTTCATCATCACATCCCACTACATCTCAACATGGGCTTCAAAGTTCTACAAGGCGGAACCGTCATCTCCTTTGACGATACGACGCAACGCGTTGTTGTTCTCCCCAATACTTCAATCTTCATTCAAGATGACCGCATCCATGCTATGACCCCAACCGACTCCACGGAGCTCCCACATGATGCCGAAATTATCGACGTTACTGGAAAGATACTCTGCCCAGGCTTCATCAATACGCACGTGCATATGTGGGAGACTGTCTATCGCACTCTTGGGCCTGATGTCGTTCTTTCGCGCTACTTCAGCGACTGGCTATGGCAAAATTTAAAAAAAACTGCTGAGGTATTCAGGCCGAATGATGTATATGTGAGTTGTTTGGAAGGGTATCTAGAAGGATTGAACGGGGGTGTCATATCTTTTTTGGACCATGCCCATAACAATTGGCACAAAGATGTGGTGAAACCGAGTTTTGATGCAGCAGTGGATAGCGGAGCGAGGGTTTGGTGGTGTTATGATGTTGCAGACCGAGAAAGTTTCCCTATGAATGAACAATGGGATGAATTAAGTGACATTTCCTCAAAGACGAGCGTGAGTGATCTGGTCCAAACTGGCACTTCACTCGATACTGTGTCATGGTAATTCCAGAAAGATAGTGGAACTGGGTTAGAGTATACACGAGAGATGATTAGGTATGTCTCATCACCTGATCCTTATACAAAGTGCTGACTTCTCGTAGAAAATTAAAGCTCAAGGCTCTGACTGTACACCACTTGGGCGGGCCGTGGCCAGGTAAGTTGCCTCCCTTCCCTAACAATATATCTACACGTTCTAAAACATCCTGCCAGCTGCAAACACATCTCCTGCAGAATTGTGTAGACTCAAATTGCACAGTGATGAATGTCCAATAATATTCTCACACGCACCGCTTATGACCGAGGAAGAGCAACACGCACTGCGAGAACATGATTCATTCATCTCCATTACGCCAGAATCCGAGTTCCATTTCGGCCACGGCCAGAAGACTGGCCATCTCGTCTCAGAGCAAGCTTCTCTTGGACTTGACACTAATTGGACATTTTCGGGCGATATGTTGTCGCAAGCGCGTTTATGGCTCCAAACAGTTCGATTGAACAAGTTCCACAGAACCCTGGAAGAGGGCAAGTTACCAAGAGAGAGTCCGTTCAGCGTTAAACAAGGGTTTCTCATGGCTACTCGTCAAGGAGTCTTGCAATGAAGCGGCGCGACATTGGTGTGCTTCAGGTTGGCGCTAAAGCCGACATTCTGGTTTTCAATGGAGATTCTCCAAATATGCTTGGCTGGAGCAACGCCGTAGCCGCGGTGATGCTTCATGCTAATATTGGAGACATCGAGCGTGTACTTGTCGATGGGAAATTCCGGAAACGAGATTTCAGGTTGGTTAATCTGAAGACCGAGTGGAGTGAGGTGAAGGATAGCTTTCTAGAAGCCTCGATACGCATACAACAGCTTGTTTCCGTACCGCCACCGATGCCCGAAAAGCTTTGGGCCAGGGGGAATCTGGGGATGTAGAAATCGTCACTACAATTAAGCCTAAATTCTAATACACTCCCTAATAAAGTTTGTAAAGATTATATATCACAACTACTTTCCACTTGAACATCTCCTAGGCTGCTACATACTATTTGCAATAAGTAGTGAAGTATAAAAGCAACCCAAAAAAGAATCCTTAGTTAGATGAAAACATGGTTCATTAATACAGGATGACTAATGACCAAATATTTCATTCTAACCCAATTAATACGGTATTGTTTTCATCCCATGATGAAAGTATTTCATTATCTATTCTTGCAGGATGTTGGTTCGAGAAATGCCGAGCCAATATTCTGCCTTAAGTAGAAGATTCGAACAGTATTTCTCGAGTGATGAGTCAAGATCGAGGATTAAAGCATTTTGGCATACTTGTAAAGTGACTGGTAATAATGATCTAATCTCTCGGATGAGGAAGTTTGGAAATCAAGCTACTGATTGATGATGGTTAATCTGAGGTATCCAGAACCGCACCTACTTATGCATATCAATTCAACTGTGTGGAAGGTTCAACACCTTGTGATACCAAGGAACTGCTGTTGAGTTCCATTACCTATGGCACTACCGGTAGATTGAGATTCACCGGATTATTTTTGGTAAAATCGAGTGGACATTGAAACTATGGCCTTTCCACCGCATTATCGGATGAAGCAACTCGGCTCTAAGAACTTCCAATTCGAAGTTGCATAAAAACCACAGGGAATGACTCAATGGATTCCCATCAAATTTGTCGTATCTCAGGGGCCTCAAGTTTCCCCACTAGGCTTGATTACCAATAGTCGCAAGATGAATGTTTGAACTAACCCATTTTTGATTAGTCGAATTAAGGTTTAAACTAACCTCGAGGCACTCCCGCCGCATCGTCGGACTAAATAATCTCGACTTTGTATATCTCTAATTCGAAGTTGTGCAAACGTATATATTTGAAGATTTTGTAGAATCCTATTGAACTTATTAGATGTCGGCAACTCGAGCTTCCGTAATGGCTCTATTTTGTACATCGCGTCAGGTTTATCAGTATGCCGCTTCTCAGTTATCGAAACCGGCATTGCACCATATCTGCTTTGTATACGGAGTGGTCGAAATGTCCGCGAACGTATTGATTAAACTTCGAGCACTTTCGGGCGAATCGAGCTGATATTGACTAACTCAACCATGATGCTTCTTGCGTTGTTGGGGTATAAATAGCCCAACTCCTGTTTTTGATTGCTGGCAGCTGAACTATCTCACTTCGCATATCTTTATATCATCCAGAAAATTCCAATCATCAAAAATCATTCATAGCAAAATGGCCGGAAGCCTTACAAACTGGAAAGCTATCGGGGATTCCAAACGCGGTACTCTGCTGTCGCTCATTCCAGAAGAATGGCGGATTGAACTTCCACTTCCGCCTCCAGCAATACTACCTGACGTTACAGGCCATATCCGCCAGTACATCTCTTCGAAGGAGGTAGAAAGCACGGAGACAGACGCAGTCAATATTGTTAGAAAAACTTCTAGCGGAGACTGGACATGCCGCGCAGTTACCGAAGCGTTCTGCCGTAGGGCAGCGTTGGCTCATCAGATGGTAGATAACCCCCTATTCCTTTCTTCAATGTCATGAAGGTTGATGGAGCTTATATGTAAATAGATCAATTGTCTTCACGAAATCATGTTTGCATCTGCCCTCCAGCGTGCCTCGGAGCTCGATGATTACTTTGCGAAACACAAAGAGCCAATGGGTCCATTACATGGTCTTCCCGTCAGTCTTAAAGATGCAATCCACGTGAAAGGTGTAGATACAAGCTCGGGCTATATTGGCTGGCTGGGAAAATCTCGAGCAGAAAAAGAAAGTCAAATCATCACTGATCTTCGCTCCCTTGGTGCAATCATTTACGTAAAGACTAGCGTTCCTCAGGGGTTCTCGTCTATCGATACACGTAACAATATTATTGGTTATTCACCTAATCCTCTTAATCGTCAGCTCACGGTGGGAGGAAGTTCGGGCGGTGAAGGAGGTCTATTAGGTCTGCGAGGAAGTTCTGTCGGACTCGGAACGGATGTCGGCGGTTCGATTCGTGTCCCCGCAGGTTGGAATGGCTGCTACGGGCTTCGTCCATCAACCGGAAGATTGCCGTACGAAGGGATTGCATCGACGATAGATGGGACTTTGCTCCCGTTCGTTGTTGGGCCCATGGCGACTCGGGTAAGTGGATTAGAATTGATGATGAGGAGCTTGTTGCAAACTGAGCCATGGAGGAGGGATCCCATGGTCCTTGAACTCCCTTGGAAAGAGGATAAATTTCTTGATATACGTGAAGGAATAAGTGGCAAGGAAAAAATGGCATTTGGAATCATGATGAGTGATGGGTATGTGAACCCACAACCACCTGTACAGAGAGCCATGAAAAAGGTCGCGGACACAATCAAGGCACTAGGTCACGAGGTATACATCTTCACTTCCAGGTGCCAAAGTTTCTGCTAAAATCATTAGGTCATTGAATGGAACCCGCCGAGTCACTCGGCTGGTAACGATTCATTTGTTTATGATCTCCGCCTTCTTTGTAGAACATGATTAACCCTCGTTTAGTTCAAAATTTGCTTTGCTGACAGTGGCAACGCTCACCACTCAGCAATTGCGATGTCTGGAGAGCCTTCAATTGAACCTATCTTCGGGTCAGAGCCGTTTCCAGATGTCAACGCCCTCCAAATCATCGAAGCAAATATTGCAGTCAAAAATTATCGGAAGAAATATCTTGACTACTGGAACAGCACCTCGGAGCTTACCGGAACAGGGAGGCCAGTAGACGCATTTATCATGCCACTTGCACCGTTTCCACCTCCAAAGGTGGGGCAAGCGCGATATGTCGGTATGAATTCCAAATCAAAGCAAAGATTGAAGTAAAGGCTGACAGTACTTCTCAAGGCTACACAACCATTATCAATGCCCTGGACTATACTTCATGTGCTATCCCGGTGACAGAAGTTAAAAAAGATATTGATCAATACCCGGTGGAATATTCCAGTCTAAATGAGGTTGACCAAGCTATTCATGATAATTGTAAGGAGACTCCCCCTTGATATTACTCCATTGTTTAAGATGCATAATCCTGTGCTAATTTTATAGATAATCCCGAACTATCACACGGTGCACCCGTAGCTGTGCAAATCGTTGGTGGGAGATTGCAGGAAGAGACGGTTCTCGCATTGGCAACAGGAATAGTCAACGGCTCAAGAGATGAGACTAGCATTTTGTTGTAGTCGCAGGATAACGCTAGAAAGCTATTATTGGAATACATGAATTACAAGCCATGTTACATATCGCTGTTTAAAGGAATACAGCATGGACGCAATCTCTATACACAGCGTAGGATGGGGACTCATGTATTATAGCATTTGTTCTCTATCTGAAGAGTTTTGATAGAATGTAATAATGACTTATCTCTTCTTTGTTTGCTACCTCCACTGCCCCTGATAGCTACAAGTACGTTGCCTCTTCTTAGCCTGGGCATAATCGGAGCAAGAAAGGCATAGTGAACAGTAGCAAAGAACTATAAAGAGGGAAAAACAAGGATAGGTAATGGAAAGGGATGTCAGTGAGGAGAAGAAAAGGGAGCTGTGTTCGAAGTAGAAAGCCTGCTTCGAAATTTCGATTCAATGCAATGCAATCTACACCTATTCTCCAATGTATTGAATTCTTTTGGCAAATAATACCTTTCAAATAAGAAACATGTCTTCCCAACTCCCTCAATGTACTTTTTTCGATTTATTTTCACATATTTTGTCAAAATCAAAAAAGCGTGTCCGAGCACCGGCGGAATCGGCGGAAGGATCTGCATTAGCGCCATGGGGGAGACAACGTCATAACATATAGATATCCTGCCCTATTTTCATAGCTTTCATATCAAACCACAAGCATTCTTCTTTTCAAGATCAGACCACCTCCGCCTCATCTTCAAGCATAATTTCAAACACAATGGCTCCTACAATTTTGATTGTTGGTGCCACAGGCAACACTGGCCGAAGTGTTGTGGAGACCCTTTCAGAATCAATCAACAACAACAAAACACTTGCAGGGTATCAAATCATTGCCCTAACACGAAATACGGACAGCCCTACTGCCCAAAATCTTGGCAAACTTTCAAACGTCACAATTGAAGAAAAGAATTGGGTTGATATTAGCCCTGAGTGGTTGAAGGAACGCAATGTTGTCAAGGCATTTGTATGAGCGCTAAACATGGTCCAAAGACTTCAACTTTGTGAAAAGTATGCTAATTCCGACTTTAGATTGCTTCCCATAATGAGCCCTCTCATTTTGCAGACGAATCAACCTTCCATGTTGCTTTACTTAATGCTGGCGTCAAATACGTTGTGCGCATCTCCACCACGGCTGCCAATATCCATCCCAACTTCCCAGTATACTATCCACGCCAACATTGGGCTGTCGAAGCCTTATTGAGCTCTCCTGAGTTTGAAAATCTTCAATGGACCTCACTTCAGCCAAATGTCTTCCACAGCTTCGCTCTTGGACCTGCCTTGGAGTTCATCAAACAATATCGCAAAGATGGAAAGCAAAATACACTCCGCTTGATGGCTGATGGTGATGCACCTCTTGGATGTATTCACTCTGACGAAATCGGTCGCTTTGCCGCTGTACTTCTGGCTCAGGAGGATCACTCCATCCACAACAAGAAAAAGTACGAACTTAACGGACCAGTGGATATCAACGGAAAGCAGATTGTCAAACTGGTGGAGCAATATATTGGAACAGAAGTCAAGGATGTCAAGTTCAGAGACATGACTTTCGTTGACACATGGGCTGATTCGGTCGAAGCTCACAAAACTCTCATTCGATCCATCAAGGGTGCTCCTACTACAGGCTGGGAAGGGAAGTGCTCGACTGCAACGACGAGTAAGGAGTTCTTGGAGTTATCTCCACCAAAGATTACACCCGCAATGTGGTTGAAATCTGCTCTTGAGGAATAAAGGGACGAATCGATCGAGCGGCACTATTAATAAAATGCTCATTTCGAATCTTTTTGTAGCACTCTAAATGATCCGAGATATGTGAAGTAGAACTCAGCTATAAAAGTTCTTGAGCTTTGTGACAAGTATTGACTGAAGAGTAGTATTATTTTTGATATATCGACCGCTATGATACCCTTTTTCAGATTTTTACAATTCGTGAGATCATTAACTCACTAAAAGTATCTATTTGGTTACCATTTCTCAGCCGTTTGGTTCAAATCTTTTCTGAGAGTTTAAATTGTTATAAACCAACGCTAGTATGACCTGCTCGTTGAGAAACCACGTCATACTATCATTCATTTCAAGATTATGAAAGTGGATTGATAACAGATAGGCTCTATGTAAGCAAAAAACAGGCGAAGATTAACCTTTCGAAGCTTATCTCAGTATCACTTGTTCACTGAATTATTGACTCCATTGTAAATAGATTTTACAATTCGACAAGACGAGACGAGACCTTGAATCTTTCTTATTGTTTAGTAGTAAATTAATAATGATTTCAGTTTTATCAATTCTATCAATTTTGTAAAGATAAGTAGTTCAAAGTAAGTTTAGGCCTTGAAAGCCCTCTTTCCCTTTCCATTCGCTTGCTTCTCTCCTTCCCCCTTTATTTCATTCAATATTTTAACCAATTCACAGTCTTCAGTCTTTGGTGACAATAATATGTGAAACTAATTCTTCCTCTCCTTCGAAAGGATTAGAAGAGCTAATAACAGAGCTAGGAAACGAACGAGAGATTCAATCGGGAGAGAATTGTGCTTAGTCATCCATATTGTATACAACGAGATCTCAGTGTACTGTATACGAGGACTTTATGCTGACTAAGGGGAACAATCTCTTTAACAAGTACAGGAATAAATACGGGAAAACCCCCCGTATCCAAGACCCGTATATTATGTATGATACTTCTGGTTTTGTAGGGATGTCACCCATCACCCTCACTCCACCACCTCTCACCAGTCGTGGGGCTGGCCGGGTGGAGAGCCAATATCACGTGATGATAAGTATCCGACCCACTGTGCGGAGCTCTATCATGACTAAGCCCAGGCATTGAGCCCAAGGTAATGGCTCCTGTCGTAAAATATGTCATGTGCTACTTCGGACTTCTTGTAAATGGGGGAACTACGACTGGTGGAACATCTGCTTGGAGCGAAAGGTACCACATTAATGTCATTGAGTGTTCTCCCTTCGCTCAAGCATAGCCCATCACAGTCTACTTAGCGCGCTATTGGTGCACGGACCTCTGCAGCGGGTCATAGCGAGCTCCGTTGGTGGACTGATGTCGGCAAAACCATTACAAGATTTTTGATGTCTAGAACGATCTCGGCGGCTCGAAAAGGCAGATGGATGAGGGAAGTGAAGAATTGAGAAGTTCCCGTGAAGCATTGACTCGATGGGAATTTGTCCTATCTATCTTGAGGGTATACTCAGTTGTGATGTTGAGATTGAGTCACTTACCATGAAACTCTGGCATAACAATCCCTACTGAGAATAATCTCCGGGGCGACAGCTCACTTTGCAATACCCTTCAAGTTCCAACATTCCGCAGATGAGGCTTATAGATTAGGATAGGCGGGGTTTAGAGAAAGCTTAAATTTTAAGGTTAAGCATCAAATTTAGAGATTGAACTTTAATTGTTTGATCGCATTACTTTCCAGAATTTCTTATATAATAGGCAGGTAAATGCGCAAATATACTTTCCAAGGGTATCTCGTATAACTATTAGGTTCGCGGTACATTATATTTACTCATTTCTAAGGTATAAAGAAAACTATTTCTTGACATAATATACGTATTAATGAACCTTTTTATACTCTTATTTATGCATTGTGTATACTTAATCGTAATCGTGTGCATGTCGAACCAATCTAATTAGCTGGAAAAGGCTCAGACTATAGGAATTGTTTAGTAAGACTACCGTAATCGCGTGATAATCAATCCATAGATCAATTTATATTGTAGAAATTTTGTAGTAGTATTTGTGCATTTTTCCTACAGTGAAAAATTTAGTACTTTACAAAAGCAGGTTAGACCTCTTTTTTTAAGAGGTTTAAATCACTCCACAAATATAACCTCGAAAAATTCACTACAGGTTTTATTTCTCCAAGCCATTAGTATTGTTATTAGACATTGATGAAGACTATATCATTGATAACAGCGTCTGTACTCTGTAGTCTCATTAACAAATTGGATTCCGAGCAATAGAAAAAGTCAGATCCTCACTTGCCTATGTTCATTTAAAATTCTGATGATGCATTATCGTTATGTGGGCTTTGTTCGACTAGTACATTGTAATGCGGTAGAACAGATTCAAGGTTAAGTAAGCGAGTTAAATGCAATTCTTCGGTTATTCTTCTGCTTGACAGAGGACAACAGATGATCTATTAGCCTATCATCAGAGAACATGATCATCAGAAGCTCAATTAGAAATCTTTCGTCGCTAAATTAGGAGGGGGGGACAGTATGTGCAAAGTTGAGAGTTTTGTGGATATCATAATTATACGAGCAATCTTTAGTTCAGTGTTTGCGGACTTACACCGGAGACAGTATCTTTGTGTGAAGCAGATATGTCCTTCGAGACGGTGACAGAAGACTATATAACAGTGGCTTCGTCCCATCTAAAGCAAGAACAACAGACACTTCTAATTATTCAATAATCTCTCTTACTTTGACAAACCACTATCATCTTTACACTTCCACCGTCTCTTCTACACACACCTCAAACCACACAACAACCAACATGTTTGCCTCCATTCAGAAGCTCGCCATTCTGGCTCTCTTCTTCGGTCTTTCCGCTGCTGCACCGGCTCCTGCCACAGCTTCTGATGCTATACCCCAAGTTTCCACCGAAGCTTTGACGGCCTTCGGCCTCACTGAGGATATGGTCACCGCCGCCAACATCACCAGCCGCGACGTTCTTGAAGCTCGCACCGTCCTCGCAGCTCGCGTCGCTTCGTGCGATCCTCCATTCATGCCCCACGACGCCACTTACGGTGCATGCGCCCTTCCTTTGGTCGAGGCGGCCCGCGAGGGGAACACCATTTACATGCTAGTTCTAGCAGAATACTTAACCAAGCATATGGCTTGCCCAACGGATGGCATTTGGGGCGGGGCTGCGCGTCCAGTCACCAAAATCCTTGCTCATCGCTGTGGGGGCCCAGGCCCGGAGTATGTTGATCAGGGAGCGCAAGGGTGGTCTATCAATAGTTCTTTCAACGAGGAGCCTTGTCTTCCAGGTGACAAATGCGCTTAGTGAGTTACTTGCCATGTTTGATTCTGGCATGCGAAGCTAACGAATTCTATAGGATGCAGCGCCTGTCTTAAGCAGTAACACAAGTCTCGATTGCGAGTCTTTGAGTGAGGCACTGAAGCACTGAGCGCATAAATGCATTCGAGTTATTTATTCGTGTTTCTTTTGTCTCGGCACCACTCACTACTCGCTAATAACGTGTTTTTAATGTTTTGGAAAGGTTACTACAGGTTGTGAGATGACTGCTTGATACAGCCTTTTGAAAGCTGGAGTTGATTTGAATCTGTTCATGCTCTGGCTTTCCCGTGGGCTTAGAGAGGGCTGATAAGTTAAAATACATACTTTACTTTATTTTAAAACATAATTCAAGTCCATCCATGAGATACTATATATAAATATGAGAGCTTCATCATTAATTGACTAATGACCTACTGATATTATGATTTATTAATGAGTCAAGATAATGTAACGTGATGAATTTTGGGCATACACTAAAAGGGTCACGTGCCAATCTAACAACGAAGCATCACCTCAGGCCTCAGGCCACAAAAGCCGGCTTTTCGGGGTCCGCGGAGCACCGTGGACTGTTATATAAATACGCGCATATATGCTGTCGATAGACTGCCTTGTGCGCTACCTAGTGTTAGAATTGTCGACGAAAACTTTATTATGGAAGCCACCACGGAGCCACAGACTTCGCAGTCTCTTGGTCATACCGCTACGCATCAGTCTCGCGCTGTGAGTTTTACGACGCTATTAAAACCTGGTAACCTTAGAGACTGCCAATCGTTGTTCTATATTTCAGTGTGAACAGTGTCATCGAAGAAAGGTAAATCAAGAGATTGAACATGTCACATGGCCGATTGCTGATCATTCAGATTCGTTGCGACAGACGATTTCCTTGTTCGAACTGCCAAACAGCCAATCTATCATGTCGAACTTTGACCCGGCGGCTTGTGTTGGCCCAGGCGAGACCAAGCACTAGAAATAACGAGTAAGTTGATTTCTGTTTTGTGGATACCCAGAGTAACGAACCTTTCAGAGACATCAGATTTACCCGGCTTGAGGAGCAGCTTTCCGATATTCAACAGACTTTGTCAATGCTACAAAATAGTCTCGTGGAGCTAAAATTACCCGGTCATCCTTCCAATTCAGCAGAAATGAGAGAGAAACTCGAGACCACGGGTAAGCAGCATACTGCAGTAGTCATGAAAGACGGCTTAAGCTTGCCGTCTCCAGAGATGATCGCCTATGAAGGTGCATCATCTCTGAGTGTTCAGTCGCATCTTGCAAGCGAGATATTTTGAGACCTAGTCAAAGGGAACCCAAACGAAAATTCGACCCCAGATATCAGCATGGAGTACTCGCAACTCGACAAAGCTTTGAATCGTAATGACCCACAGTCACTTCTTTACGACAAATCCTTCCCAGAGATAAAAACACAGGAGAAGTCTGCAGGGAATATCGTAATGCCCCCCTTAACAGATATTGTGCTGCTCTTGAAATGGACCAAAGGTGACTATATATACGAGATCAATCTAATACTCTCGCTAATTTAATACAGGCCCCACAAATCCGACTTTGTTGTCGTTTCTTCCCCTTGTCTCGATTTCTGAGCTTGACAGCCTCTGCAAGAAGGCTTACTTCGAAATGGAAGAATGCACCACCTCCGACTTGATTATTATCAATGCGTGTTTACTATTCTTTATGCCAGAATACTGTATTTCACAGAGTAAGGATGACTCTGTAACAGCAAGGTGCCGTCTCAATAGCCTTCTTTGCCAGAAAAATCTGGAACTGGCCATGAGTCGTTTAAATTTATTCATGAATTTGTCATTAGATAATACAAAAGCTTTGATATTGGCCGTGAGCAGCAACACATTCCCTACGTTTTATGATTCCGCTGATCAGGATAGTCAATGTACGCCGTAGGTACGCATTCCCTTGGTATGGCTTGGACATTGATTTCCACTGCAGCCAGACTCTGTCAAAGTCTGGGTTATAATCAATTGACCGTCCGAAAGATCACGGGTAGCAGTGATGAGAATGCGAAGATGGCGTTGTTTAGATATGTCTACAATCTAGATCAAACGCTTTCCTTGAGACTTGGCCAGCCATCAAGTCTCCGTGAGTGCGACCTCGCAACAGACGCCCTTCCTAACATTTCGACTTCTGGCCTACAGGTATGGGACATTATTTGGTCCCTGTAGATAGAGGCAGCCCAGCTTCGTGCTTGGACATTCGAACGCCTCTATAGTCCTGAGCCATGGAGCTATCACAAAGTGTGCGTACAGAAGCTATGAAAAATCTTGCTTTCCTCACTCTTACTGCGAAATCTAAAAACTCCAAGGTAACTTCACATCTTCATAAATGCTTTGATGATTATGCTACTACGGTCACTGATCTTCCACAGCTCGAAGGTCAGTTCTGTAAATCTGGGGCTAGTCAACATCAATACCTTGGTTTTGTCCAGCATGCGAACGATGTAGTTTTTCTGTCTCTTCTGACGCTAATTTACCGATCAATCCCAAGCGAAAGCTCTGATACATTGTCTCCATTCAACCAACAATGTCTCGAAGCGGCTCAGGCAGCACTCGCAGCACATCATTCCTGCTATCTGAACTACATGCATAAGCACAAATATATATGGACGATATATCTGCAGTGGTTTTTGAATTCCAAGCTGCCCAGAAATGACTGACAATGGATTTAAGGACCGGTCTTGCATGCCCAATCATACCATTTCTCGTCATGTTCTGTCATGCTGTCACAACCCTTTCTCTTGAGACCATGGAAGATCTAGAAAAGTTCGTCACCTCCCTCCAGCCGGTCAATCAAGCCTATATTGCCGGCTACAAAGCTCATGCACTGTGTCAACGGTTCTATGAAGCTGGAAAATCCTACGTTGAGACGCAGCTGCAGCGGAAGAGGGAAGCAAACATGGCGGACACGTGTCGAGATCTTGGTGCGAGCATTTTTACCGATATCATACCTGAGTTCTGGCATGCCCTGATGGTACCAATTACGATTCGAGCAATTATGAACTGAACGCTCCAGGAAGGCAACAGATGCAATTGAGGCAAGAACTCATGTCAGAAGAAGATGCTTGGTTTTTCGGAGATCCAACCATTTTGGGACTTGCTGACGATATTTACCATAATCTCGATAACAGGTCGGTGTAGTGTGATCTAAAGAAGTAGACTGCGCCATAGATACGTAAGAAGATAACAGGCCTTGTAAAAAACCTTAGATTTCCGTCTGCATAGTAGATGATCGAGAAATCCACTTAAATAGTTGCTTGGAAATTCTAAAACCAAAAATAATCTACGCTTGAAGTTATGTTAATATTACGTTACCTTGTAAAGCACAGAATAGCTCTCATAACGAGTTTAAGAGGCAAATAGAAGCTTCGATGGCTTACCAATAGAATGGACAACCTGCAGGGTACCCATAAGCATCGGTGTTTCTTGCGCGGCCCGTAAAGAAATTAAAGATGATTCGATGGCTGTCTACAGACGTCTCTAGATGTTTTGTGCTTGTCTTGGTGTAACGGACTTCCGCGGCATCTAGAATCGAAGTGGAGCACAATCCAAATTTATATGGACCGAGCCCGGGATTTTATTATCCACGGTGTCCCATTGTCCGCGGTAGTCCGATGCACAGCTAGCGTTCAATCCCGTTCTTTGGTGTCTCTTGGGTTCAGACGAAGATGGCTGGTGGATTGTTTGCTTGTACGCAATTTCTCATGTGGGTCTGGTTGTTCTTATGAGACGATTTGGTCGGAAATATAAAGTGCGAAGCTTTCCCACCGACGTTCACTTCTCATGTCTATTGTGGAACTTTACTTTCAATGCAAAAAAGTGGCCAGCATGACCCAATATCAGAGTGTTGATCAAAAGAAGAATAGGGAGTATGCAGCGCCCGCCATAAAACGGTTGTTCACTTGCTAATTATCTCTTAGGATCTCAAACCTGGGAAGAAAGGACGGGGGTATGAACGAGCGTCAAGAGGGAATCATCTCCAAGAAAGTGGCCCGGCGTCCTCATCATGCAGCACCATACAAGATGCGATAATCGATGATCGCTCGGTGAATTACGAGTTCGGTGGCCCCTGGGGAACGGGCGCAATGATGGTAGGCTTCCCACTGCTGATGTATTACATGTGGATCGGTGCGACATTTTATGGCGGCTCGTTTCCGCTTCCCTCAGCAGGGCAGTCTCTGACCCACTTTATCATCTCCCTCATTCAACTGATTTATAAAGAAGCATTCCCGTCATTATACGCTTGTAAGATATATTGGACGTTCATCATCTTCCAAGCTGTGTGCTAGGTAGTTCTTCCTGGAGCTTGGAGCTATGGAAAGCCACTACATCACCTTGGTGGCAAAAAATTACGATACTATTGCAGCGGTCTGTGGTCTCTTTGGGTATCCATCATCGTCGCAGGGGCGCTGCATTACAGTGGTATTTTCAAGCTCTACGAGCTCTTGGACGAGTTTGGGCCGCTGATGTCCGTTGCGATTATTTCCGGTATCGAAATTGCGACCTGGGCGTATCTCTTGGCGTTTTTGCGAAGAGCTCAGCATAGAATGAGCGGTAATCTCATCTACGATTTTTTCATGGGTGCAGAACTCAATCCGCGCGTGGGAATTCTTGATCTCAAGATGTTCTTTATGATAAGACTACCGTGGAACGTCCTGCTTGCACTTGCTTGTGCCACAGCCGCCAGGCAGTATGAGTTGTATGGTTATGTTGGCGCGGAGGTGTGGTTCCTGATCCTGGCACATTTCCTGTATACCAATGCGTGCGCCAAGGGAGAGGAGTGCACGACGACTACATGGTGAGTAATCTTCGAGCTAGCCAAATTATCGATATACAGTAGATGATTTTTGGAAGTGTGCTGATAAGTTGATAACAGGGATATATACCACGAGAAATGGGGCTTTATGCTAATCTTCTGGAACATCGCAGGTGTGCCCTTTAGCTATTGCCATGCTATTCTCTACTGTGCCAATCATCTTTCCACTCTAACTGAATGGACCTATCCGTCCCTCCGGATGCCCTCACTTGTCCTTCTCTTCACATCTTACCTCTTTATCTACTGGGTCTGGGACACGATTGGTAGCCAAAAGAACAACTTTCGCGCCCAAGAGCGCGGCACTTTTACAGGCCGTAACGCATTCCCGCAGCTACCCTGGCGCACAATCGACAATCCGAAAGTGATCAAGACGGCAACAGATGACAGTATCCTTATTGATGGTTGGTATCGATACGGTCGCAAAATCCACTACACTTGCGATATTTACTTTGCGATTGCATGGGCGCTGGTGGCCGGCTTCGAGAGTCCTTTTCCCTGGCTCTATCCGGTGTTCTTTACCTTCATGATTCTTCATCGTGTTCATAGAGATATTCGACGTTGTAAGGCAAAGTATGGACGTAGTTGTTGGGAATATGAGAAAGCAGTCCCGTATATTTTTATTCCGGTAAGTTTCATTCGCCACATCCTGAGGATTAAATTTAACAGTTGGCAGTACATCTTTTGAGGTAAGTGCTTCGAACCGTGGGAGTTTATGTTGTAAGAACAAGAGATATCACGGTTAGATATGGGATATTATTTGGAAGATAATGAGCAAACAAGGGATAGAAGATGCGGATAGAGGGATTATGCAGTTACAAAAGGAAGATTACTAAGTCTTTATAGACTAAAGATTTTGTGGAAGGTGGGAATCTCGATCAGACCATTCGTCTTAAACCCCTCAAAAAAAGTCATTCGGGTCATCATGCTAGTCTTTGGGCGGACGATCGTTGATCGGCACATTTCCTTCTTATAAACAAGTTTTGAGGGATTGAATTACTGACATATTCAAATCGGCTGATTGTTTTATTTGTCTCACAAGTGTTTCATAATCGATAATAAGTTTTCATAAATAGAACCGGTGGTGTTGATCGGGAAGTTCATCCAGACAGCCTGATTTTATCAAGAGCGGAAGTTTGTGAAAGGCACTTGATTAGTTGCATTGGAATATAAAAGTTACATTCGACCTTGCAACGGCGTAATGAATGAGGAAGAAAAAAGTGGAGCGAGAAAAAAAAAAGAAAAAGATGGAGAGAGATGTCTCTTTCATATTCGAGAAACAAGTTCAGTGTGGTTGCTCAACGCGCTGACTCTTTCTATTCCTATTCGGGTTAGACAATCCCCCATTTTTAAAGTCCGGGGTAATAGATGGAGTTCATGCCTCACCCAAAAAAGGGGGAAGACCAATGCAAGTCTTCTTTGCACAAAATATGCGCACGGTATAGTCACCATGCACTTCTATTAGCCGAAACTCTACAAAACGCATTTTTTCATGCGTTATACTCCCACAATTATATTTTATTATTTTAATTATGCTTTCAATTTATAATATACAATATATTAAAAATACACAAAATAATCCTTATAAATATTTTATTCCATATATATATAACAAAATAATTAATAAAATAAAAAAAAGGCCTCAATTCCTATTGAATTATAAAGAGCCTTAGATTATTTTATAGAATTATACAATATATTCTTTTATAAGATCTAATATATAATAATAATATATACCTATTATATATTAATTAATCTAAATTATATATTAAATAAAACAAACAAATACTATTATAATATATACAATTATTTTCAAGAGTTATATATAAATAGATTATTCAAAAGGTTAGATTTGATTATAGTATTAGAATTATCAAGAGGATTTTAACCAAATATAGTATAATCAATTGAAAATATAAAAAGAAATTAGAACTTATATTAATATATATTGCTAAATAATTTAAATAATATCTAGCTTATAGAGAATTGATAATTAAAGAATAGAATCTAATTATATAATCAGATGAATATTCTATAAAACAAAAAAAAGAAAAAAGATTAGAATAATATTTTTATACTAATTTTCAGAAACAGAATTCAGAAATGATTGAAATATATAATATAAATAAAAATATAAAGATTATATATTAAAAAAGCTTTTGGAATATTAAAAAAAGTAATTTATATATAATGAATAAAGATTTTGAGAATATAAAATATAAATATAATGCTAAATCTTATTTCGAGATTCTTGAAATTAGAGTAGATTCTATTTTCGAAAAGTTTAATTTAAGATATAAATTTATATAGAATAATATTTTTATTTATTATATCTATAAAATACAAAATTGATTTCAAAAAAAAAAAGATTCCTTTATTAAAGAATTAATCTTCTTATTCTTTTGATTTCAATCCTATAGAGTATATATAATGAATTCTAAAAATAAAAATATATAAAATATTTTCTGATATTGTTATTAATAAAAACAAATCAGAATATATTTATTAAAGGTTAGAGAATTGTTTACAAATAATTTGGAATATATTAAATAAAGAATTATTTAATAATTTGGAAGCTAATATATATTCTAGAATTGAGGCTTATATTATAGTGAATAATTGATATACTAAATATTGATAGATTGAAAATCAATAACAAAATAATTTTTATATATATCAATAATATAAGAATGCATTATTCATTTATTCAAATTTAATAATTTTATAATTCTTGATTGATTTAATATTTAATATTGAAAAAGGGTGGTACAATATGTAACATCATAAAATAAGCGGGGGGGCGGAGATAAGTGGCCTAGTACTGTATGATTTATGCCTTGTTCGTCTTTATTGAGTTTGGCAGTAGGAACAAGAAGGAGAATCTAATCACAGGCTTTCGCTTTTTTCTACAGAAGTGAGAATGGTGGTAATTCACTTCTGAGTAACAGTTTCCCCTCTCAAACACCGGAACCGGAGCGGAAGATGCCAATGAGATTCACCTATCAGAAGGCAATGGAAATATACGCCGCAACTATCAAGCCATGCCCAGGTGCGCGTCAATATCCCGATTGAGAAGGCATTTGCTGGGATAATGTTTCTTGATTCGCTACATTCTAATAAAGCTATACTCCTCCCGAGGTTTCGCTCAGTTTCAAATATCCGCTTCAAACTCATGTACAGTGCTTCTACCCCGCTCTCGATGCCTAGACTTCAATCCAAGTAGGGAAGTATGTCCCGTCACGCGCACATCCTATGCTGTTCTTCCACTCCCGCTATTCACTTCCCCACTCCCCTTAGCCGACATCGCTAAGCAATATCTAGCTACATAAGAGTCCATATCTCCCCGTATATTCTACCAATTTCAAATCGTTACAACGTCAATGTCATAAGAGAGGATTCTGTAACCACAGCGAAGAGTCTTTTCGCATCACCAAAGGTTATGATGAATGCCACCACCAGATTAAAGAATCGAAAGTGTAGACACAGACTATCTGAATCACTTGACTTGAAGTCAACTACTGCTTTGGATCCCACAAATGAAGAAGGTCAATCTTTCGGTGCTAATGAACACTCATTAGAAGGAGATAGTTGTGCTAATCATAAACGACGGAAGCTAGGTTGATGCTATTCAGCCGATCGGAGTTAAAAAAAATTATTCACTAATTTCTTTTCAAAAAGATTCTTCTTTTTAGTCTTTTATGGGGAATTTCAGTTGTGTTTGGGTTCGACGAAGGGGAAGGGTATAGATTGAGAGAAAATGAGATGAGATAAATCACTCAACATAAGACTTAGTTTAATTTATTTTCCAGTTTCTCAATCCTGCATTCAAGAAATCCTTTTTCTTTCGTAGCTGCACTATAATTTTTAAGGACGAGACAGTTACAAACATGAAGACCTTTGCCTTCAAATTATGCGTCGTAACACTCATTTACTTTCTTTCCTCGTTTGTTGCATATTCTGTTCTAAAATATTTAGTTCGGTCATTCGCTTCATGACCCTATCAGTGAATCCAGTTAGTAACAAGTTTGAAAACCGCACCGATGTTGACCATTTCCCAAAATATATCCAGTGACATGGATCATCAGTAAGTCTTTGGACACTTAATGTGCTCACTTGACCGTATCACTGCTACCTGCATTTTTACCACCCCTGTCTTTTCGAACCTCTTTGATGGCATTATAAATGAAGTTGGATGTTATTGCATCATTAAGGATGGTTTGGCTACGAGATGATATTCATATGAATGTAAGATTTCCGAAATTATTTAATAGGAATGACTGTGTAAGAAAGTTGTAAGCTTTGTGTCCATGTGTGCTCAACATGATAAAGGAAATTGACAGTAATAACTTTAATTTAGTCAATGATCAAGTGCTTCTGCCTCTGGGCACCCAACCCGTCCCTCACTTGAAGACGGAAAGATAAATGCTCCGCTGTTATGCCAGCATAGGCATTTGTAAAGAAACCAAATTTACTTTTTCTTGAGTGTTCCGAAGATTTCTATCGAAGAAATACTGTAGGGTTAGAATATGAGCACTTCATTCCAACAAAGTCAGCTCGAGGGTTCGGATGATATCATCAACCAACAAATGCTTGATTACGGCTGCGAACTATTCGCTTAAGAAGCGAAGTGAGTTTGGTGTCGTTTGTTGTCGTTCACTAGAGTGTGAGGGGTGCAGGTTTTGGAAAGTCAAGATGATTTGTCAATTCTACACAACCAGTATAATAAAATGTCTAAATCGGTGTTGCAAATAAATCTAATAGCTTCGAAAATACTGAGCAGGTAGCCTTGCATATGGAATGCTCATATTGAGTATAAGATAATTCTAAGTCATTTATTGACAAAAGTGATGGCTTAAGTACGTGAATATAAGAACGTCGGGTTTCGTATGTAATTTCAATCTAGGAAACTTGATGTAGCCCATAGCCAAGATGCCCTTCCCAATTTGAGTATTAATACCATGATTGTTCAATATTTCAAGGATTTTTGACTCCTTTCGATCATCCTCAGTAGCGCGATGCGCCTTAGAATTTCTATAGAATAATCTGGAAGTCATTTGCCTGATTTAACGACACTCAAAGCAGCAGGGGAGTGCAACTTGGGTATCTAGAAGAATTTAAATCAGAGAGGGATATCCAAATTGGCCCTTCCCTTTAATCGCGATTGAATGAATCTTGGTTCTGATGAGGTGATTTCGATACTTTATCTGATGACCATAGTATTTATACCAATATAAGATAGTATAATAATGACGCAAATTAAGCTTTCTATATAATATTTCGTCTATATATAAAAGGGGATTATATCACTTTTGTTAGAAACATATCGGAATATTGAAATTGGATTTAGAATCCGGATTTCAAGTTCAAAATGAATTAGAAAGTTATGAATATCGCTTAGAATTATTATCTTAAATCTCTTTAAAAATAAGCATTTTAGATTGAATCTTATATTCCTATATCTTTAGTAATTTATAGATTGAAATCATCTATATAAGTATTTTCTGATAAATAAATATATATTACATTACTATACGAACTAATATACGAAATAAGAGTAATACTAGTAAGAATACTAGATGATCGAGGCGCTGAGTCCTTGTCGTGGTACGGGTAAAGACTTATATTATATCATAAGGGTAGAAGAGCTATGGAAAAGTAAGATCCTACTTATAAGAAATAGGATATACTAATAATCTATATTTAAAACACAAAGACAACTATAGAATATATAATTGATATTATAATAATATCCTTTACTTAAAGTAATTAATTTATAATTATAATCAAAATACTCTAATTTCTATTATTAAATTAAAATAAATTTTTTTAGAAATAATAATTAATTAATAAATTTTTTTAGATTTGCTTTAATTTTGTTTTAAAAATATATTTAGTATATTTGATATAAGTATTAATAAAGAATTAATAGAATTAGAAATAATAAATCTTTTAAA